AGTCCACTTACATTTCATCTGCTTTCACAAATTCCTAAGCACTTCAATGTGATACCTTCTCATCTCGTTTACAATCTGAGCTGCCTTGCTAGGTTCAAACATGGTGCAGACATTCCATGTTTCCACGTTTACTTTCGTTTTCATCGAGAGAAGACACATTGGCCAATTGGCTTCCCGAAGACTTTCACGAACTGGCGTCATTTCGCCTCTCCGATTCCAGCGAGGACTAATTGTGTTTTCATTTTTTTGTATTTTGTTTGTGCTTTGAAGTTTCTGTAGCGGTTAGATTTGTTTTACGAGGTAGGGTTGCTGGCCCTATGCCCAGCCTTCCCTCTTTACCCGGGCTTAGGATCGGCTAGTAACTAGTGACCTAGTTAACCAGGCGAGGCCCTGTGGTCCAACAAATCTTTTTCTCTTCCAGGTACCTCAAGAAAACCCAGCCTTCCACTGTGTGGGCGACCGCCATCACAACTCCATCAGCCCTGAATATCCCCCAGACCACTATCCATCTCCATTTTTACCTTTTAATCTTTACATCTCTCAGTTAACAATACATCATCTTTAAGTTGTAGCTCTGAAGTTTTCGACAACGACCGAAGTCCATAAAACCGTATCCTTGGTCTCCTTGAACCACCCTCCAAATCGCACATTAGAGCCTTCAATATGCTCACCTTCCGTCAAATCGGCCAACAGGCTTCATTGGCCAAAACTCTTGCAACTCAGGCCATGAATGTGTTTTGTGTTTGTGAAATACGCATGCAGGACCCAAGTGCGGTTATTCACTTTAGCTCCCCCTGCCGGTATGGTGAATCTGGAAAATCCACCCTTCGAGTTTCTGGAGAGTTGATGGCTAGTTCTCGGTGTAGTCGGTATAGTATTAAACACTAGGTCAGAAAGCTCATTACTAGACTGGATCTCATTTGACAGTTACTTATGCGCAGTGTGGCTGAACGGCACCATGAGACTCGCCATTGTCTCTTTGTAATCTCTACTAACGTACCCACTGACTGCAGTTCGGATGGAGTGAAGGATGGGTTCTGCCGAAAACTGTCTAGCCTCTTATTGAAAGCCAAACGTTCAGATGTGGTTGTTTTTGCAGGTGATTTCAATGCACAATGGGTAGGCTGAGTCAGACAGAAAGGCACTTAAGTGACACTTTCGGAATCCTGACCAAACGAATAGATTATGGTGGCCGCCTACTACTATTGTGCTGTGATAACCGTTTGTTTCTAGCTAGCACGAACTTCAGAAATAAAAAAAGAGATTGTCTGGAGTGGCGTCCACCGAGCTCAAGTTAGCGATGGACACAGATAGACCATATTGCTATCAGTCATCGGTGGTGAGGATCGATGGGAGACTGCTGCTCCTTCTGGAGTACGTGTTTGTATAGCGACCACGCGTTGGTTCGAGCACGTATGTGTCTGCGTCTCAATGGGCATGGAAAAACTTTAGCAACAAAACGATTGTGAATGCAGCTCGATAATAAAGAGCACTAAGGCTGCTTTCAGTGAATAACTGACTAGGCATTTATCGTAACAGAACATTATCACTCATCCGGAAGAGGCTTGGTGCCATTTCCAGTCTACCGTAGAAATAGCGCTGAAAACTTTGGCCGACCCTCAAAGTCGCTAGAAGGACCTATTAGATGTCAGCAATTTTTGAATTAATGGATGGACGCGAACGCATCCCTGCAGACTGAATACAACGTTAAGCTAACGCAACTCATATGTAGGCTGAAAAAGTCTACGCAATGACCACGAGTAGTGGTGGGCGGCAAAGGCTAAATAGATAGATAAAGCAGCGGCGATAGGTAACAGATTGGTGAAAAGGTCAGCGGTTAGTGATAGTGTCGCGGAGAAGGATGGGTCTGTGACTCACTCTCAGAAAAGACGACTGGAACGATGGGCAGAACACTTCGAGGAATAGTTCAGTTGGGCGCCAGCCACCACTGCGTTACCCGCTATATAGTTGGACCATGAATAGAACACCGAGACAAGCCCTCCAACACTTGCAGAAGTCGAGAAGGCGGTAGGTAACTAGGAACGAGGGAGGGTAGCAGGTCCAGACGGACTAATTCTTAAAGTATATAATGATGGTTAGAGTGTTTTTAGTCAGGTTAACTGAAGTGTTCACTAATGTATAGGAGCAACATATGATCCCCTAAGACTAATCCCAATCATCGATTGTCCCAGTCTCCAAGAGAAGCCAGAAGTCCTCTTGTGATAACCACTGAGGAATCAACCTGACAAGCTCAGTGTCTACGATTCTAGGTTCTATGACTATTAGACGTCTGATTAGAGCTCAAGAACAGAAAACCCGATAAAACCAGACTGGTTTCAGACTTTGTCTTGGATGTATCGACCACGTATCCACACTCTGCTATGTTCTTGAACACACGCACACTTACCGACGCCCGACAATAGCTATATTTCTCGATCTGAAGGCTGCGGCATTTGACTCCGTCAGTCGAGAAGTTCCATTGCAACGTCTCTCTGAAACGGGTGCTGAGTAAGTACATCACCTTATTCAGTGCGTGAAACACCCACCTACCTGGAAATTCGAATCATCCCGGGTAGCTAAGTGGCCACCGAAATCTTTGCACGGACACAAAAGGCTCGGCTGGCTTTTGCCAACTCACGCCATCTCTGTTACCGCCGCGATATCCGCCTATCTGTTAAGGGTCGAGTGTACTATAGTGCAATTCTCTCTGTTCTACTGTAATGGCTGTGAAACATGGCCATTGAAGGTGGAAGACGTGAGAAGACTTCAGGTGTTTGGCCATCGTTGTCTTGATGGTATAGATCGTGTTTCGTGGTGTCACCACGTGAATAACACATAAATCAGGCGTAGAGATTTAGAGAGGAGAGGTAAGCCAGTTGGTACGGTTGTGGATCTTCATCGACTGAGGTGTCTGGGACATGTGTTGCGTATGCCTAACCACCGTCTGCCTCATCGTACGATGTTGGCCAAAGTAGGTTCAGGCTGGTAAACAACTCGGGGAGGATTAGGGGAGCTAGGCTAAAACATGACACCAGCAGATGAAGTCTTTGCCCGTTGGTTTGAGCCATGTGGGGGTATACTACGGACTAGCCGGTTGGAGGTCCGTGGGGCAAGAGAGACCAGTTGTTGGGGACTCTAGGTGATATGGCTGAGAACCGATATCAATGGTGCAGATGTATACACACATTATCCTCATCTTAACCGCTATACTGAATCCCACAATTTTTCCATTTCCCGCTCGCCTCTTCTGATACTTTCTGCTTCTTGTGACCGATTTTTCTTCCTTTCTTCCTTCATGATTTATTTTATTGCCTTATTACTTAATGTAGTGATATGAGATTTGGCAACTTTGACTGTTACGCACTAATGCCTATTCTTATGTTGATCTTCGTGATTGTGATGAGAAAGCAGTCATGGTCATTTTGCGGATATGGGACACAGTAGATATCTCTAGATATATTTCTAAAAGTCTCTTCTCTTATTTGAGCATTGAAATCGCCTGCTGACAAACGTTTTCTTTTCCCCTCAGCAGTAATGGGTTTGGTGGAACTCAGCACTTGCGTCTTCCAAACTACGATGGGCACGTAAGTAGAGACAATAAATAGGCATCATCACGTGCTTCTTAATTTGTTTTTCATGCAGACCCACTTAGTCGAGCTGTGACCTTTTGTTCCAGAAGTTAATTCTCTCCATGCATCAGTGAGTTTAGAAAAACTAGCCACTGAATTTCCCGATATCCTTAGTGTCCTTTCTACCTATTCACCACATTGACCTCTGGAGGCCAAATGATTGACCACACGAATTTTGTTTGCGCTTTTTGGAGACGCAACTAGCGCATGTAGCCCGAGATACCAGTGTTTTGGCCAGCAAGGTGTGTGCCGCATCTGACCTAGGGTTCGAATACTAAGTGCTGATATGAAGTTGGCAGTAGTCTGTACTTTTCTGGCTCAAATTGTTATCGATGAGCACAGACCAAGAAAAAGTTGACGTTGTATGAGCCGTAATCTTCCGAACAGGATAATGTAGTGAGGAAAAGTTAATTAAAACATAAACACAGTTATAGGTTATCAAGATGGAGCTGTGCTTTCGAAAGCTTGCGAATGGTCGTTACTTGTCAGCTACCCACACTGGCATCTAATGCCTTCTTAGGGTGCCTGAAAGAGAAAATGAACTAGTTTATGTGACTAGAGATGTTGAGAGGGTACCTTCTTGTGGTGCGGCACAAGGTATTTTGAGAATGCTGATATTTAGAGATGTGAGTTCGTTCCGTGAAGGATCTTGCTTCTAATGATGTTAAACTGAGCGACCAAGTGAAATGCGAAGTTTTTAAAGTCTGTTTTAAGATCCTCTACATCTTAGAGTGAGTAAGCACTGCAGCTGAGATATTGGTTGCTTAAGAAAAACAATTGCCTTCTGCCAAATTCACTTTGAATATTGGTATGACTTCACATTCAGAACTTCATCGTAACATGAGTTATCATAAAAGTAACTGCTTTCAGTCTAACCGCTGTTCATTCAACCTTTCCGGGGATGGTAGAAATTGTTGGGTCCTTCATTTCAGACAGCATAACTCGATTGGGTTATCTCGATGGGTCATTAGACAGACAAACAAAAGCAGCTGTCAGTAAAGAATTAAAATGAATACTTAGCCTTAGTGAGTCTGAGGTTAAATTGTCTTACTTTTTATTGTAGTATGATCCGTATTTATCAGTGATGCCTGTATGCCACAAATTCGCCTTTTAGGTTTGCAATTCCTATCATTGCAAATAATTTTGTCATTACAGTGTTAATCATTCACTGGTCTTGGTCACATGTTCCCTAATTACTGCACAACTCTATCATCCATTGTGAATGTATTGCGCATTTTTGCATTTGATATTTTCACTGAACTTCTGGGTATTAATAAATAGCTAATTTAGGATGAGTTTCTACCACCTGTTTTTATTAATTGCGTGAGTTATACTGAATTTCTAAACTACTAAGTTTTTTTTTCGTTATAGTTTGCCGACTTCAAAATACATTGATGGCCGATTACTTGAAGTCCGCATTCAGTTACTTTTCTACTTCAAATACTAACAAAAATGATAATGAATTCGTCGGATGTAGCATATCTGTTGGACAGCTGAATCTAAAAGTCAAACGAGTTATTGCTGAGGGTGGTTATGGAATTGTTTATGAAGCTCAAGATGTTAATGAAAACATCCCATACGCTTTAAAGGTATGGTTTCAATTTCGCTATCAGTTTTTTCTCTCAGCGTATGCTTGCACACGACAAAACTTCAGCAGATTTGATTCTTCATGAAGTCCGTTTGCTGGTATGTATATGACGCTTTTATGTTGCATAACGCGTAAACTTGTAGAAACAATTAAGCGGGCATCCAAACATCCTCAAATTTTTTAGTGCGGCATCCATGGGTAGGGAAAAAATGAAAGTTGTTGGTACTGAGTTCCTGATAGTTACAGAGTTTTGTAAAGGTCAGTTCATGTTTTTTTCGGTATGTGTTAAGGTATTTACGTTTTTATTTAAATTATGAATTCTGTGACTTTTGGTCCAAACTGTTGGTGTGAACGAAGCATGTTATCTATAAGCTGGTTGACTTAATGGTAATAAAGATTTTAATTAGTTCAGTAAATGGTTATTGATTTAGGAAGTTGACTTTCACGCTTTGGGTCGTGGGTTAGAACACCGCTTCACCTACAGAGGTTTGGGAAACAAGATGGTGCCATCAGCCTTCACATACTAGGTGTGGCTCATTGCAAAAGGTAACCGAGTGAATCTTGTTTCGCTTTCAATAAGCACTATGGGTCGTGAGGTATTTAATTTGGCTATCTTTAGTTATTTTGTGGTGTGGAAACTAAGTTCACATGGCTCTCATTACTTTCATAATTTGGATTTCTGTCGTAATCGGAAAGTTAGAAAGGTTTTTTGGTGTTAATGCCGAATTGATTCGGATATGACCTGTTACTGTTTTCCAGCTTACTGGCATAATATGGTTTTTCTGTTTTGAGATTACTGTACCTTAGTTGTGCAACCCGACTTTTTTGTACCCTGTCAGAAGTTAATTTCTAGTAAGAGATTACTACAAAAAGCAGAAGCTGATAGTGGTTTTCAATAAATTATGTGGTCAAGAGTTTAAAAATCGATGCACCTTTTACACACTTAAGAGTCGAACATCGACAGTAAGCGAATTTTTACTAAATCGATCGATCGCGTCTTACCATATTCTATTACCATAACTGCTTTTTCTAGTGTACTGCACATGCTCTTGGTATGAATGTTCAAAGCTGTCATAAAGATACAATAAATGGAACATCCATTGGCTTTTTTTTAGACTGTTCGTACATTGCTTACGATTATGCTTGCGGTGTATGCATTCGATTCACTTGTTTAGTGCTTACAAATACATAAAACTTCATATTGGGTACTCTTTAATGTACTCTATTCTCTGATCTTTTGTTTTTACTGAAACTGTAAACACCTTGTGTTTCAAGAAGCTTACTTTTGCGTATGACTGATAAATCACACAGCGGCTACGCCGCCTCAACTGTTAAAAATTGATTTCGCTACTCAAACTAACTCAGAAGTTTCATTATGTCACCCTTTCAAAGGTAGAAGGTGGATGTTTCCTTAGTGACAACTCACTAGAAACGTGCTGGGTTAAGCACAAAGATTTTTAGCGACATCATAAGCGTTACTTCTCCAGTGTTTAAAGTGTATATTTTACACTTCCTCAGAAAAGTTATCAGTTGAAATCTAATGAATAGATAGAAATAAATGTATTTACGAAGAAATGTTTAAATTGATTTTTGTGGGTTGCGAAACTCGTATTGTATTGTTGCCACTTAGCACATGGTATTGGCTTGAAAACTTAGCTGTATATCTGTTGAATTTCTATACCTTCATGGATACGCTAGAATACTCATGCGTTTTTCAACAAGCAGTACACCGATTGCCTAAAAACGTTTGGAAGATGTGACTCATTGGCTTAAACAATCAACTTTGAAAGTTGATTGCCACTGTGACAGATTTTGAGCTCTGTCACCAGGTGAGTTCTATCGTCTCCAGAACTCCAGCCATACAGTCTACATCCGAAAATTCAAATGAGATGGCAGTTTCGATGCCAGTTTTTACAGGAAACGATCACACGAATAACTACTTAGATTTTACATATCACACTATAATTATTGAGATAGGTTTAGTAAAATGTAATCAGGTCAGGATTCTAAGCAATGCATCAGTTTTCAGTAAGAAACTAAAACATATTAAAGAGAAATTACTACTTGATGACTGTCTGATTTTGTTGAAAGATTTATAAGGACTCACAAGAGAAGAGTAAGTAACAATATTAGTAGTCATTGCTATATGCATAAGAGAGAATTTAAATCCTTTATGATGTTGCTACATACTGAAGGGACTTTCCATACATTTATTCCTCTATATGAACTTAAATAATGCAATGAGAAGCCGTCATTCATTTCATAGGATTTTCTTCTTCCTCATAGAACCTGAATAAATAAGTAATTAGTCGTTATATTTGCCTTGGCGATTAGCGGTGGAATCCAGGACGCACGTTTTTCATCCTATTTGGGACTCATCAGCTAGGTATACTTGAACCCCAGTGGGTGTTGTTCCCACTGATACCCAAACCCAGTACTAATCCCTACTGGAGCACGAGAGCTACCTCTTATGCATCGGATACCCGTTGTTGTTTATTGATACTTGCTATGCAGGGCCGGGTGCAAGTACATCCCGCCGACGAGTCTCAAATAGGACGAAGCGCTCATCCTGAATTTCACTGCTATTCACCAAGACAAACATAAAATCACGAATATCCGGTAGTATCGAAGCATCTTCATAGGAGCTCATTTACCAATAGACGTCGAGCGATTCGACCCTGTATAACAACAAGAAATTACAAGTATCAAAACAACAAAGTAAATAATCACTGTAACAAATATTAACGCGCCTTATATAGAGCGTTTTGAGATATACCACTTAAAGTTTTAAAAAACAGGAAAAAATAATTCAGGATATAAAGAAAGTTCAAGTATTAAATTTATTCAAACTACATAAGGGTTATATGAGGTAAAGTGAGGAGTATTCACGAAAGAGTGAAACAATATCAGAAGTAAGTTAGAAGGGTTGCGTAAGAATGGTCTACAGCTACTCTCAGATTAAGGATAGGTGGTGAAGTTGTAAAACGTGTTGACTACTTCACTTACTTAGGAAGCTATATCAGCTGAAATGAGTTGGTTCGTGAGGCGTTCTTAACACTGACACAGAAGGTCTGTTTAGCATTTGACAACTTTTGTCATCTCTGGCACTGTCGAGATATCCGACTACCTGACCGTATTATGTGAGTGTGTAACCTGGCCGTTGAAAGTAGATGTGAGATTACACGTTTGTATCACAGGTATCTTCGTAGCGTTGTTCACGTACAGTGAAATCACCATGTAGGCAATCCTAAAGTTATGGGAAGGGTGCTACTCAAGGAAGGCAAGTCAGTTGGTGAGGTTGTGAACCTACACTGACTGAGTTGCCTTGGTCTTTTGTTGCGCGTGCCGAGACTCCGCCTACCTCGATGTACACAGACAGGCAAAATCAACCTCAAGTTGAAATGCTAATCATATAGAATCGGGTTGGAAGAAGGCCTTACCAAGAGATGGTACCAGTCTGTTAATTTTCTGATTGCTCGTTCAAGTCATGTAGAAAGGTGAAGACTGCCTGACCCATGTCCTCAACACGGTAGGTATCAATGTTTGGAGACTCTTAGTGACAGCTAAAAATCGATCACAGTGGCACAGATGTACTCACTCTTTGATGTCTTCTGAAGCTTGGAACTTTTCTAAACCTCGGTTTTCAAATTCATTTTCCTCCCTATTTATTGACATACTTGTTATTAAAAACAGGATATTCAGCGAGGAGGACTCTTTTCAACGAATTTATTCTCAAGCTGTACATTCGTATATATATGATATTTAAAGACTGTAATCCGTGAGGAAGATTTAACTGAAATAATGGGGGGTTGAAACAATAATAATGATGATGGTGATGATTATAATGTTGATAGTTGATGACGTAAAGGTAAAATGGTAACAACATTATTATTGTTTCAACCCCCCATTATTTCAGTTAAATCTTCCTCACGGATTACAGTCTTTAAATATCATATATATACGAATGTACAGCTTGAGAATAAATTCGTTGAAAAGAGTCCTCTTCGCTGAATACCTTGTTTTTGATGTCACAATGGGAATAATACTTGTTATTGTCCGTTGTTTTGTTGGATCGAATTGTTCGACCTCTATTGGCGTATGGGCCCCTATACAGATGCCTCGATATTGCCTAGATGTTAATTATAATTTGGTTGGTTGTGGCTAGCAGAAGAATCCACGACGCGCGTTTCGTCCTACTTGGGACTCGTTCCTCTGTGGCATAGTGGATAACGCCTTGGGGTTTGGAGCGATGGACACGAGGTTCGAGTCCAGGTGGGAACAACATTACTGGGGTGCGGGTACATCCAGCTGACGAGTCGCGAATAGGACGGAACGTGCGTCCTGGACCCTTTCGCTAGCCGCAACCAACCAAATTATCATTTCCCTCCCATCTACCTTTGTTTACTTTGATATCACTCCTTTTCTACCCACTGGTTCATTGTATGCTTCTGTGATGTGTAGCAAATTGAACTAATGTACTTCTGTGTGAATTTCTAAGTTGAGTCTGTCTGCCTTACAGTCATAGAATTCATAGCTTGGTGTCAGGTGTTGATGTGACCAACCTTATCCTTCTCCCAACCAAATTCGACTTCGACTAATATCACATATCGACGTAGTCAACATTTAGACATTTAGGCAGTCCGAAGCATTCTTCGATTTTACTAGTTATCTTTAAATTAGAAGGTAGTGTAAACCAGTATTTAGTCTCACGTCAAACGTACCGAGATTTCTGCTCAAAAGACTGCAGTTTGTCAGCAATTTTGCCTAAAAGACAATACCGTCTATATACTCTTGGCTATCCAAGTTTCCTCTGGGGAGTAAATCAATCCCAGAGAAGTTGAAGTTGCGTTTTTTTTACGTCTTACCTGTTCATGCATCTATCAAGAAAGTTCTACTTCCTTCACTTAGCAGAGGTTGTTGCCTTAAACGTGAGATGGCGAAAAGAAACCTCCATCACTACCATAGAATTTGTAAAACTGAAGCATATACCTAGTAGAGTTGCAAATCCCTGATACCAGATCAGTGGTGCATATGGGTTTCACTATTGATAACGGATAAATAGTAAGTGTTTCCTACCGCTATCACTGACAGCCGAGGAAATTCAGCAACTTACGCTACTACACCACTTTATGGATAAGATATCAAGTGAAAAACTCGAGAAATGGTCCCTTGGGATAACCACCTTCGTTGGTATGAGCATCTGAGAAATATCACAGCCCGCACACAAATTAAAAATCAGCATGAACAATCAAGGATAA